TATATTATTACTATTAAGTTACCATTCATCTCATGGGACGATTACTGTAAGGTTGACTGTAATGATGGAACTCGGCCGCTGAGAAAATCCCATAAATAATCAATGTAAGCACTAGGGGAGCATAATGTTAAGATTGTGTTTGGTTCCCTAAAGCCTCGTATGGACCCCTTATAGCGCTCGCATAACCTCGTAGAACTTCGGTGCCAATTCGACTCAAGTTCCTCCAGGAAACGTGAAGAGCAGGAACTATGGTGGGAACTAAACCTCTTCAAAGGACAAAAACTGCCAATGACTGAAGATAAGTGAGTCTTTTGAACAAAACGTCTTCCTGACCTGGCTATTTCATTTTGTTTACTACCAATGACAATAACAACAGTACCAATAACATGGATAAACAACTAATATAAAGACTGTTTAACTAACAAATAATGACAATCTTCGAAGCAAATCAGATAAAGACAATGAAAACAGCTAATCGAACAGATCAAAAACATTCAGAACTACCCTTACTACCGAACAATGTTTTCAAAGAAAGTTGAGGATCCGTTTTAACAAAAGCAAAAGTTTTGGAGCTGTTCAATCCTGGTTGGGAAAGTGCATTTCTAGTTCATACCTTCGTATAGTAATCTGACCTTGGAATTGTACCCATTTCCTGCTATGCTAAGACCGGCTGCTTCATATATTAGGGCATCCAACTCTCAAACGAATTCATTTTCATCTGAGCAGCCATGGAAAGATGGAAGGCTCGACGGTTGCAAGCTGGCCTTGATAAGAGTCTTCGACTATACACATACGTGTGGAATCAGCTCCGACTGGCACTACTTCGTCTCTACATATTTGTTAGAACGAAATTTTTAGATTACCAGGGGTGAACGAAGGAAATTGAAAATCACAGATGATCTGAGGAGTAAAATCAGGGTCGAAAGCCAATGCAACTACTCTCTTTCGCAGCTTGTCCTGAGAAGCGCGCCGCAGTGGACAGGAGAGGTAGCCACCTCACCCTGAAAGAGCCTTATAGGACTTTCGTTGAGAATGGCAAATCAGACTAACTCAAGATTTGCAATTTCTCTTTCTGACTGCAGGGAACGAGCTACCTTTGCGAAAAGCATCAACCCTGGAGAACAAGAGGTATCGCAGGTGTACCCTGAATCAACACTGAGGTAATCCCAGAACTTAATTTATTTCTAGCTAAACAGTAGCGCTAAATCAGCCGAGAGTGAGGAAGGCTACCCCTTTCAGTTTGACTGTATATTTCAAGGAAGGTTTACACTCTCAAAAGTACTAGAACAGTCCTTCTCTTTTCTTCATCGCATGGCTGAATTCAACTCCTTCGACCTCGTTGTCTGAATCGGCATCCTGTTGTTGAGCAGTGACTCGCGGGACTTGAAGTTCATCACAGATCTATAATGGCTTCTTCTATCACATTTACATGATCACTATTTTCTCATCACATTATTATCTTTATGTGGTTCTTAAAGGCACCATTCACAAAAAAGTTAGGGTACCCTTTTTTGACGGGAAATCGATAGAACTACTCTAGAATAAAGCGATAACAACGAAAAAAGCGCAAAACACGATGAACAAAAAGAATTACAAAGGGCCAAAAAAGAGCTGGAAAG